AAGCAAGATTTAAATTGAGATCATCGTTCACTTGTCAACCACCAAATGCATCACACGGATGTCTTCTCATTTCGATATCATTCATTATCATATACTTTCATAAAAAATCTAAACTTCCCATACAACACACGGCGTTCGTGAATAGAACCACATTGTAAAAAACACAATTCAATTTAGGGTGAAATACTTCAACTTCAATGACAATACACAATTTACTAAGAATTACCAGTCTTACATCAAAATAACCAAACCTCATATAATAATATCTAATTTATTAAAACGTTTCAAACTAAGGTGAAAATGAAGAAAGATTATATAAGAATATCTAATTTATTAAACGACATCGAACTTAGATGAAAATAATCAAAGGTTGTAAGAAAATACCCAATTTATTAAAAAATATCAAACATAGGTGAAACTAGTAAAGAGTCATATTGAGATACCCGATTTATTAAAAAAATATTAAACGTAGGTAAAAAGAATAAAAAGTCGCATTTAAATACCCAATTTTTTGGAAAAATTTCAAACTAAGGTCAAAATAACGAAATCTCATATAAAAATATTTTATTTATTAATACATATCAAACTAAGGTGAAAATAAACAAAAGTTATATAGAAATACCCAATTTATTAAAAAAAATCAAACTCAGGTGAAAATAAGTAAAGATTACATGAAAATACCCAGTTTATAAAAAAAAATATCCAACTTAGATGGAAGTAACCAAAAGTCGTATAAAAATACCCAATTTATTTTAAAAAAATCGAACACAGCTGAAAATAAGTAAAGATTACATGAAAATACCTAATTTATTAAAAAATATCGAACTTAGATGAAAATAACTAAAGATCGTATAAAAATACCCAATTTATTAAAAAAAATCGAACTTAGATGAAAATAACTAAAGGTCGTATAAAAATACCCAATTTATTAAAAAATATCGAACTTAGATGAAAATAACCAAAGGTCATACAAAAATACCCAATTTATTAAAAAAAAATCGAACTTAGATGAAAATAACTAAAGATCGTATAAAAATACCCAATTTATTAAAAAATATAGAACTGAGGTGAAAATAAGTGAAGGTTACATGAAAATACCCAATATATTAAAAAATATCGAACTTAGATGGAAATAACCAAAGGTCATATAAAAATACCTAATTTACTGAAAAATATCGAACTTACATGAAAATAATCAAAGTTGATATTTTTTTTAAATTCGAGATATAACGATCAATAGGTCAAAGGACATATTTTTTTTTTAATTCGAGATATAACGCTTAGTAGGTCAAAGGTATTATATAGCCGAGGTTATTTTTTGGTGAGAAGAAGAAAACCGGTGTTTTTCTTACACAAAGTCACAAGAGTAATATGCTTTGCAATGTTTTTCACAATAAACTAGATATTAAGGCTGAAAAAAAAACTATGATCATGCGGGGGAGGGGAATGCGTCATCCAGGGCACGACCTTTACCATTGTCCGCTATTTGACCTCTGTCGTTATCGTCTAGGGTGCGACATATCTTGCCGTCTGTGTTAGTTTAGTATTGTTTGTGTTAATTTATAGTAATCTCTCGTACTTTATTGTCGTCTGTTGTGGTTGTTGTCTTTTTCTTTTTTTTTCATTCTTAGGTGTCATTTGTTATAGTTTATTGTCGTCTGTTGTTGTTGTTGTCTTTTTCTTTTTTTCATTCTTAGATGTCATCTATTATAGTTTATTGTCGTCTGTTGTTGTTGTTGTCTTTTTCTTTCTCACTAGTTGTTATCGTCTCTCTCTCTGTCTCTCTCTCTCTCGTTTCTGGTCAAATGTTCATCTATTAGTGTCGTTGAACGGAGAGAGAAAATATAGAAATTGGGGAAAAATCTATTTCTCTAATTCACTCTCTCGAACACATCTATAAATAGAGGTGCATATCCAGTTATTCAATCATTTTACAATTGTCGATGGTCGAAGTAAGTCATTTTTATAATTTCTTTTTTTTTCCCTTGCGCTGCGCCTACTTGTTTGTTCTCTCTATCTTTTCATTGAATGTTTATGTTTGCGCGTTTTTCTTTTTAAATGTGTTCATTTTGATGTGATACTTCATTTTTCTCTTACTGTCATCGTCCCATCTTCTACCTATACTTTCCAAGTATTCTTGTTACTAGTATCTACTTGCTTATACCACATACAGTCCTATACTAGTTATATATTCCAATCTCTTCTCTATCTACATTATCCTACTTTTCTACATATCATCTGAATTCCTTATACTCTTTCCCCCAAAAATAAATCTTTATCTATCATTCCAACTTTGAAATACTTCTACAGTTTACTTTTTTTTTTTTTCTTTTTTTTTTTTGTAGTTCTGCAATTGATATTCGAATAATATTTCAACATATATACGTAAACCATATAAAAATTGGCTATGGCAGAAAAAAATACTATTCAATCAAATATGTCCATTACAAATACAATTGATATTAAAAAAAGCGAAATTAAACAATACCACTTCTCCAAATCAATTCTCTTCGGATGATCCAACAACTTTAAATATAGTAAGTGACACATGTGACAGTATTATTTTTTTTTTAAAGAAATTTTCATATTTATCTAGACAACAAGCAATACAACTTCTCATCAAAATATTCATATAACTCTATCTATTGTGGATAGTAAACCAAATCAAATTATGACAGAAGAAGAAGAAGACGAACAAGAAGAAGAACCAGAGAAAATCAATTTCGACAATGAACAAGACTTAAATGAAATTCTCAATAAAGCAAGAGATGAAGAAATGCAACAACTTTCTCAATTCATTACAGATCAAAAACCTATCGATGATGAAGTTGCTCAAGTGATGATCAGTCAATTAGATCTTACATTGAACCAAATGAAAGCAAGAACATTAATTAACGTAAATGATAACAACAAAGATCAACAACAAATTTTAACATCACCATCCATTATTACAGTTATAACAACACAACATTCATATCCACCTATGAATCAAACAGGTCAGATAAAAGATCATGATCGTCCTTATGCTAAATATGGTCATCTTAATCGACAAATAATTGCACAAGAATGAAGAACTTGTTATGAAGAAAATCAAAGAAGAATTTGGTATTGAAAATATTCAATATATTTGTATTGGTGAAGAAATTAGTGAATTAAATCATCAACAACATTTACATATACAAATTATTTTTAAAGAAACAATTGATCGAAGAAAACCATTTCTTGATGATACAACACAAACACATTGTAATTATCAAGTAACACGCAATGATCTAGCTTGGAATGAATATATTAAAAAAGATGGTAATTGTATTGAATTTAATGAATTTAAATCAACAACAACACGTGGTTCAAAACAATGGCCATCATTATCATCATCACCTTCGTCAAGATCACCACGGTCTCGATCACCATCTACATCTAGTACAAGAACAACATCACCTGTTACGACAACGACAATGAATCTTCCTCCTGCTCCTGCTCCTCCTCCTCATCCATCTGTAGTACCAAAGGCAACAACTGCAAAAGCTCAAGCAGAAGAAAAACGTCAACATCAACTTGAAATATATAAACAAGCAATTAAATTAGCTGAAAACAATGTTGATCATGCCATGGATCTCATTAAACAAGAAATGATTGGCAAATTTGTTGAACGTGGTAGCTGGTATAGTTAAACAAAAACAAAAACTTTTATTAGTAACTCTCTATCTGTTATTCTTGTTTTAGGTATTTAGCAATATTCAATTATGTTCATTTACGAGCACAACGTGAAGGTGATCAAAGAGGTGAAATTGATAAAGATTATATTTGGCCTCATTCATTTCCACATTGTACACCACAATTACGTAAGTCTATAACTATTACCAAATGAATCTCTTCTTTTTTTTTTTTTTTTTCTTACAAACATATATATGTTAATGTTATAGGTGAAGCTATGAATTGTTGGATCAAAGAAGAATTTAATCGTTCATCACGTGCAAAATGTCTTATTATAATTGGACCAACTAGTACAGGAAAAACATCATTTGCAATGTCATTACCTGGTCGTGTTAATTATTTTCAAGAACGATGGAATTTAGATGCATGGAATAATTATGCTCGATATTCAGTTTATGATGATATTCCATGGGACGATTTTAATAAACTTAATTTTCCTAATAAAAAAAATTTACTAACACAAAAAAAATATAAAATAAGTGTAAGTAAAACACACAAAACAAAAGAAAACGAAACTTTTTTTCTCTTTTCTTATCTATTCTTCATTTATACCGATTATTGTGAATATGTTCTTTTATAAATAGGCTTCTGACAAATATCGAGGAACAAAAGAAATTAATGTTCGA